ACAAGAGCTTAGTGAAGCTAAGGGAGTATGCAGAGCATAGCAATCCCTGTAGTGATTATAGCTGTCCCCTCCAAACAAGAGTCAAGGCTGCAAGTTGTGGGTCAAGTAGAACTGGTTTAATGAGCATACAGGGCTCTCTTATATACTGTTGTGCCTAATCATTAAATTCATGAAGCACCAATATCCAAAAAGTAATAATCAATTACCTAATAAGGTTTATAGCGATATTGGCGGGCACACAACCCAGTTCGGGATGAGTATCTTGGGCTATAGGAAAAAGAAACAACACAGAGACCAAGTTGCAGATAAGAATTCACACCACACTTTATTGTCCACAAGGGGACCCGATACAGAGTAAGCTTAACTCTCATTAAGTAGTTGCATGCAGTCACTTCAAAACAGCTTAGTATCTCGATATATCAGCTTAGTATACATGACCATTAGAGGGGCTTGGTTGTGTCCTCTGCACGTGACTGGGGGAACTGACAGTCAGGCTTGGAGGGACCCTCTCTGGGAACAGCAGAGACCAGCAACAAGCATCCGCATTACAGGTGGGTAGTTCTCCAAGTGAGTGCCAAGTTTCTCCGTCTTTTATACTTTTTACCAAGTTTGTAACTTTTCCAAGATTTCTTATCAGTGCAGCCCAGCATGTATCTTGTCATGGGCATTAAGTAATCAGTATGGTTGATCAGGCCAGTCATGACCACCCAAGGCTCATGCCAGACACATGCGGTATCTTATTTTATCTATGTCCCTACTCTTATCTTTCTACACATTGTTGGCACCAAATCCCTCTTTTCAGCACGTGGGCCTTTTTGGATATTGGCCAGAAATGCTATGGAATATTTTATGCAATGTCATCGTAGTTGAATTTCTTAGTGCGACACAGTTTAAGCCAAGCGCCATCTTAACTATCTATAATAGATTAATTTGCTCATTAGTGATCAATTAATCATGCCTAATTAATTTTGGATTTTATCACAATTATCACATATACACATTTTCCCTCAAGGTTACCATCCACGTGGACCTTGCGGTACACAGGACACAAAGTTACAACAGCCAATCAACACAGTACATTACAGTCAGACACCCCCAGCTAAGGCACACAAGCCCTCCCCTCTGCCTGTGATATAATTACTAAACAGAATGGACTAACTTAATTACCACAGGTAGAAAATATACAGTTTTACCCAAAACACAGAAACACCCCAAAACAACAACATACTCCCACAAATTATGGGGGTGAACAACATATCCAAAAATCACCCAGATCAGAGCAGGGGTTCCCAAATTCCATGGAAGTCCTATTTGATCGACCGCAAGCATGGCTTTCATGCCCAAAAGAGTTCCATAGATTTGGGCTGTGCGGTCGGTCTATTACACATAGTTCAAATGCTGTTCGAATGCACGAACGGGGCAGTTCATGCAAATAGCCAGCGTTAAAGTGGTGTTCGAATTGTCGAACACCGTTTGACTCCCGCCGAAGCGGAGAAGTTCAAGAGAAGGTAAGGTTCAGCAGTGTTCGTGCTGTCGCATGTCCGATTTGAGTTCCATGAACTCGACGGCAAAAAACCGCTGACCGAGTTCAACTAAACAAGATGGCAGCCGCCACGTGTTCGGCTATACGAACAGCGACCACCCAGCCGTTCGTCAATTAGCTTGCGGTTAATCACAGCTTCTGGGAGGTAAATTGGCTGCACACTCCACTTGCGTGTGGTCCGGCTGTTCGGCGGTTTGTTCGGTAAACTCGATTTACTGAATCATATAGGGAAAAAGGCACGAACAAGCCTTTTTATAGTCTGGGAACACAGTGTTAGCCATGGGCCATAGTCATAGGGCAGGAGGCTGGCAATCAGGCTCCTCCAAAAGCCAGTGGCAAAGGGTAGTTTGTCACAAGTATGTGTCCCATGTTTGAAATGAATGTTACTCTACTTTTTTTTTTTTTTTTTTTTAAACAAGGCAAACTTTGATAAGTGAAGAGGTTAATGGTACAGACAGCTAGTACATTTTATTTACATCTTCAATTATATGTAAATGAAAAGCAGGACATTGCTCATGTGAAATATATGCAGATTTAGCAATAGTGACTAAAGTAATACATCCATATTTTTTCAAAGCAGCTCAAAAAGTTTTCACAGAGTCTAACAGAACCTTCTGTACTGTTATTGTATTTCCAGACATCCCAACATTTCAGGGAGGCAGTGCTGGATTAACACAGTGGCTGATGGAGCTGCAGCACCAGGCCCATGAATTAGGCCCATTGATTTAAAAATTTTTTTTTACACATTTACAAAAACTACTCTTTCCATCTGGCTAGTATTTGAGGCTGCTTAGCCGATATTGCAGTCATACTGGCAATACAAATGCTGGTATTTTTCTCAGTATAAACATAGATTATGATGCAATACCAGCACTGGCCAGTAGGGGTTGCTGTGTGTAGAGAGAGGCAGGGATAGGAAGTTCCAGCATATCCCTCCCTGCCTATTTCTATTTACTGATTTGCAAGGGAGCAGCTACAGAGAGTCCAGACTGCAACTCTCAGCCTGCAGAGACAGCCTACAGCTCAGGCAAGTGAGGGATGGGGAAAGGCTGTAAGGAGACACTTTAGGGGCACTGGGAGATATGGGAACACTGAGACACTAAGGGACATTGGGAGACATTATGACACAGACACTTGGGGACACTGAGGCACTTGAGGACACTGGGAGATATAGGGGCACTGAGACACTAAGGGACATTAGGAGACATTATGACACAGACACTTGGGGACACTGGGAGACATGGGGACACTGAGACACTAGGAACAGAGTGTCTCCATGTCTCCCAGTGTCCCCATGTCTCCTAGCTAGTGTCACTTGTGTCTCAGTTTCCCTAGTGTCTCAGTGTCCCCTGGTTTCCCATTTTCCCCTAGTCTCCCAGTGTCACCATGTGTCCCAATAGTATCTCAATGTCTCACAATGTCCCTAGTGTCTCAGTGTCCCCAAGTGTCTCAGTGTCCCCATGTCTCCCAGTGTCCCCAAGTGTCTCAGTGTCCCCATGCCTCCCAGTGTCCCTTGTGTCTCAGTGTCTCTAGTGTCTGTGTCCCCATGTCTCCCAGTGTGCCCATGTCTCACAGTGCCAAAATATCTCAATGTCCTCATATGTTCCAGCCAGTGCCCCTAGTGTCTCAGTGTCCCCATGTATCCCAGTGCTCCCAAGTGTCTCAGTGTCCCCATGTCTCACAGTGTCCCTAAGTGTCTTAGTGTCCACATGTCTCCCAGTGCCTCTAGTGTCTGTGTTCCCATGTTTTCCAGTGTCCCCTTGTCTCACAGTGCCCAAAGTGTCTCAATGTCCCCATGTCTCCCAACCAGTGTCCCTAGTGTCTCAGTGTCCCTGGTGTCTTAGTGTCCCCATGTCTTCAAGTGTCCCCTATTCTCCCAGTGTCCCCTAGTCTCCCAGTGTTCCCATGTGTCCCAGCTAGTGTCCCCTAGTCTACCAGTGTCCCTGGTGTCTCAGTGTTCCCATGTCTCCCAGTGTCCCCAAGTGTCTGTGTCTGCATGTCTCCCAGTGTCCCTAGTGTCTCAGTGTCCTTGGTTTCTTTCCCTATGTATTCTAGTGTCCCCATGTTTCCCAGTGCCCCAAGTGTCTCAATGTCCCCATTTCTCTCAGTATCCCCAGGTCTCCCAGTGTCCCCTGTCTAAGTGCCTCCATGCCTCACAGTGTCCCCATGTCTCCCAGTGTCCCTAGTGTCTCAGTGTCCCTGGTGTCTTAGTGTCCCCATGTCTTCAAGTGTCCCCTATTCTCCCAGTGTCCCCTAGTCTCCCAGTGTTCCCATGTGTCCCAGCCAGTGTCCCCTAGTCTCCCAGTGTCCCTGGTGTCTCAGTGTTCCCATGTCTCCCAGTGTCCCCAAGTGTCTGTGTCTGCATGTCTCCCAGTGTCCCTTGTGTCTCAGTGTCCTTGGTTTCTTTCCCTATGTATTCTAGTGTCCCCATGTTTCCCAGTGCCCCAAGTGTCTCAATGTCCCCATTTCTCTCAGTATCCCCAGGTCTCCCAGTGTCCCCTGTCTAAGTGCCTCCATGCCTCACAGTGTCACCATGTCTCTCAGTGTTCCTAGTGTCCTAGTGACATGGGGACCCTGGGAGACATGGGGACACAGACACTAGGGAACACTGAGAGATATGGGAAAACTGTGGGACACAGGGAGACATGGGGACACTGGGTGACATGGAGACACAAGAGTACACTGGTAGATATGGGGCATTGAGACACTGTGAGACATAGGGACACTGTGATACATAGGGTCACTGGGAGACCTGGGGAGACGACACTAGGGGAAACTGGGACACTGGGAAACATGAGACACTGAGACACTGGGAGACCTGGGGTAATGGACAAATTGGGACACTGGGTCATGAGGGCACAGGGATACATGGGGGCACTGGAAGACATGGGGAAACTGACGCAAAGGGACACTGAGACATAGTTACATAGTTACATAGTTACATAGCTGAAAAGAGACTTGCGTCCATCATGTTCAGCCTTCCTCTCAAATGTTGTTGCTGTTGATCCAAAAGAAGGCAAAAAACCTGGTCTGAAGCGCTTCCAATTTTGCTACAAACTAGGAGAAAATTCCTTCTTGACCCCAAAATAGCAGTCAGGTGTCTCCTTGGATCAAACAGCAATTACCCCACTAATTAGAAATTATATCCCTGTATGTTATGTTTTTGTAAGTATTTATCCAATTTCAGTTTAAACATCAGTATGGACTCTGACAAAACCACCTCTTCAGGCAGAGAATTCCATATCCTTATTGTTCTTACTGTAAGAAAACCTTTTCTTTGCCTTAGATGAAATATCCTTTCTTCCAGCCTAAATGTGTGACCTCGTGTCCTATGTATAGCCCTGTTTATGAATGATAAATAGTGATGTCCCGAACAGTTCGCCGAACGGTTCGCCGAACGGTTCGCCATGGATGGCGAACATAAACATAAACTTTGACCCTGTACCTCACAGTCAGTAGACACATTCCAGCCAATCAGCAGCAGACCCTCCCTCCCAGACCCTCCCACCTCCTGGACAGCTCACTAAGAATGCAGCTTCACAATGAATGTAAAATGGATGCTGTCCAGGGGGTGGGAGGGTCTGGGAGGGAGGGTCTGCTGCTGATTGGCTGGAATGTGTCTGCTGACTGTGATGTACAGGGTCAAAGCTTATGTTTATGTTCGCCATCCGTGGCGAACCGTTTGGCGAACCGTTCGGTGAACCGTTCGGGACATCACTACTTAGAAAGCGTGGAGCGAGCGCATCATTAGACGCATTTATCCCAAGCTCAGGCTGCTGTCTGCATAGTATGCCCTTAGTTGGCTAGCTTGCATGATTGGCAGGCAGCCTGACATGCATTCATGCCAAGCTGGCCTTCTAATTCTTTGAGCAGACATGCCCCATTTTTGGACAAGTTCGCCCCTTTTGGCAGGTTACGTGATCTGCGTCAGTGGCACACTCTTTTACCAAGCCCATTGACTTCCTTCTTCACTGGACACTGCTGTTAGGGATTATGGATTTACTTGAAAGATGAAAACATAAATTAGAGAGAGATTAACATGAACGTATGAACACCTAGACACACAGATACACGCACTGGCACGTACAGATACACACACTGGCACATACACACACACTCAGATACACACATTGAAACACACACTCAGATACACACACTGGCACATACACTCAGATACACACACTGGCACACAGATGCACACACTGGCACATGCACACAAATACAAGCATACCAGCACACACAGATAAAAATATACACACTCCCAGATACAAACACTGACATACATTCAGATACACACACTGGCACTTACACTCAGATACACATAATGACACACAGATACATCCACTGGCACACACACCCAGATACAAACACACTGACACACAGATACACACATTGATACACATTGGCACATACACACACACACATTCAGATACACAAACACACAAATACACACACTTAGATACACATACACTGACACACAGATACACACACTGACACATACACACAAAAACTCAGGTACACACTAAAATAAAATTTAAAAAAATAATAATTTGAGAGTGTTGGGAGAAATATGTATGTGTGTATGTGTCTGTAAGTGTGTATGTGTGTGTGTCTGTAAGTGTGCATGTTTGTGTGTGTGTGTGTGTGTCTGTAAGTGTGTATGTGTGTGTGTGTGTCTGTAAGTGAATGTGTGTGTGTGTCTGTAAGTGTGCATGTGTGGGTGTGTCTGTAAGTGTGTATGTGTGTGTGTGTCTGTAAGTGTGTGTCTATGTGAGTGAATGTATGTGTGTGTGGGTCAGTGAGTGCGTCCATCGGTCAGTGAGTATGTGTTTGTCAGGGAGAGTGTGTGTCTGTCAATGTGTGTCTGTCACGGGTGGTGGTATGGAAACTGGGACCCAGTATGCCTAATGAGAAGTGGGAGTCTTCAGCGTGGAAGTGGATTATCAGAGTCTGGTGCAGGGTAACCGCACGCCCCCTGGTGTTGAGCACCAGCGTTTGCGTGGCCACATACCAGAACCCTGATACAGCTACAGCGGATTCCAGGAACTAGGAGCTTGATATGCAGACCTCCCAGGAACTGGATAGGGGGCTCTGCAGCAGACATGTATCCAGTACAGAAACAAGGCAAGGCTAGGATAGTCACCAAACATGAAAACAAGACAGAACTAATAGAACCCAGAACCAGAGCAGGACAGAAAGCAGAACCCAGAACATGTACACAAGACATGAGGAAAACAAGAACAGGGCAGGACAGGACTGTACATGAACTGGGATTACAAAATAAAACAAGACAATATATAATAGGCAAAACAAGAGGAGACATAACTAAGCACTATATATAACAAGTATGGGGATTTAGTTACATTATATGATCATACATTGCATAAGCCTGCCACAACACCAATGTACCCCATATTCGTCAGGTCCTAGACTGCCTAATGTTTGCTAACAGAACCATACTGAACCACAATAGCACTTACCTGCAAGAAAGGGCAGAGACTTGAAACACTGCTGCAGGTCCAGACTGAAACAAAAGGAATGATGGAAAACAAACAGGTGTGGCAACATAAAACAAACATTTAAATGAATCCAAAAGACTGGGAAATCCAGGGACGGAATATAAGAATGAACCCAGAAAAACCCAGCATAAAGAAAACCAGACATAGAATAGAAAACCAAAAAAAACAAGAAAAACTGAACAAGAATTTTAAAAAGAGTACTGGATACCAGAAACCAAAGCCAGACATCTCCGCAGAACATGGCATGATGTGACAGTGTCCAAGTAATAGTGTGTGTGTGTATGTCATTGTTTGTCAGTGTATATGAGAGTGTGTGTCTGTCAATGAGTGCATGCATCTGTCAATGAGTGTATGCATCTGTCAGTGAGTGTGCGTCTGTCAGTGAGTGTGCGTTTGTCAGTGAGTCTAAAAACTGAACAAATCCACAAATGGTTCCCCTGGCTCATAGGTAGTGTTTGTTCCCCTGGTTCATGGGAACAAACCTACTGAATAGCGCTCTCCTGGCTGGTCGGTGAATGGAAGCAGGTGTTCGCGAAGTTGACCGGCGTACAGGCGTTGTGTGTCTGATTTTAGTTCCAGACACTTGACGATGAAGTCCCGCTGCCTCCTATCATGCGAACAAGATGGCCACCATTTTCTCCTGCACGTGGCATTCGGCTATACGAACGGCGGCAACACAGAGAGAGCACTTGCGGTCTGCTTTGTAGTTAATGAACCAGAGGGGTTGGTCACTTAATGATGTGTACTCAAGATAGATAGGTAAGGTGTTAATATCATCAATAGGCTAGATGTTAAATGACTACTGGGCCACCAAACTCTCACTAATCCATGGTATGTGCTTCTTCAAGGAGGCTTTGTGTTTTTTCTAACTATCTTTGTATCCAAAATTAGAACTGTCTTGAGTGTTTACCATCAAAACGATACAAAGCCAGCCATAACAACAAGAAATCGGATTAATAAAATTTACTGGGTTCTGTTTATTTTCTGAGGTCTTATGAAAGCTGCCCCACATTGAAAGTTATGAAATAAATTACATTTGGGGACACAGAACTTAATCACATCACTATTTAATTATAACTGTTAGTAAGCAGGTTACCGCCGGGTTTATATTTTATTTCGTACAAAAGGAAAAATGATCAGTGAGCTACTGCCAAGATCATCAAATTAGGTATGTTTAGAGAAGGATTATTACAGAAGTACATTAATCAAGCATTATGCAATCTCTTCAAAATGCGAAACAGGTGCAAGGCAGATAAATGTTTTTGAAGTAAGTTCTTGATAAAATCTTTTATGTGTAAAGTTGTACTGCTTGCCATTCTCAATGTAGATTGCATGAAGCAATTTGAAGATTGTCTGTTACCTCGAAATGACTTCACACTAATCGACTGCACATACAATACTCTAAGGTTCATTCGCACTAAATAGCGAATTTTGTTGAAAGGCAAATGTGAACAGTACACCAATTTCCAGGTCATATGCACAACATTATTTTGGATTATATTTAACGAATTTGGGGTTGAATGTATCAACATAACTCCCTCTTTAGTAATTAAACACCTGTTTATTAGTTGTGTTTTTCTCCAGCAGTCTCTAGCAGTATATATATTTATTTTAATATATATAAATATTTGTGTAGTGTATTTTGTATGTTATATAGGCAAAATAATATTGACAGCGACAATGGTTAAAAAGGACCGTCTCAGATGAGTTTACAATGTCAGGTTTATTAGATTGTGGAAGATCAACTGATTTTATTTTTAACTGTCTTTTTTTTTCTTCCAAAGCATTTGTTTTCCAGCATGTTACTTTGAGGGGTTATTTATTTTTGAACATTTATAATTTTTCTTGCCTCTACCAAGTTATATTTTCATCAGTTTACAGTAACAATAGAGTGTATATATACAAGGAAATCAAGCTGAGCTAACTATCATGGCCTTGACAGAAATGGGATTGTTTAAAATATTTAGATACTAAGTACATTTCATTCTTACAATCAAAAATCATATTTATGTTGCATATTAATCATTCTCATTAAAAAAATCTACTTTTTTTCTTGTTTCATTTAACATTGTTAAACATTAATTTAACATTGTCACAAAACATGTTCATTGTTAGCATAAGACTGGTATATATTTATAAAAAATTTTGTAGACATTTTACAGCATAAAGTACCATAGTCGACCTGTTTAAAGAGGAATATCTACTAAAAAAATATAAAAATAACTGTATATATTCAGTAAGATACATTCAATGCATACTTTTTTCTTTTTTTTTTTTAGTGCATTCAAATTTATTAGTTTTAGACAGTAGGCCAATGAATCAATTTTGTTAAAGGGATACTATAGTTACCAGAAATACTTTGGCTTAATGAAGCAGTTTTGTTGTATCCCCTTAAGGACAGCGGGCATGCTATGCTGTCCTTAGGGACCTGGCTCTAAATGCCGGGGGGCAGCATAGCACGTCCCCACCATCCTATGTACTAACCCGGTCGCCAGCAATCCCACGCCGGCGATCGCTGTGTGGGGACTCACCTGGGAGTCCAGGGAGTCCCCCTCCGTCCGTTTCGGTCCCCCTGGGCCATGTGATCGCGATGTCCTTGCAAGGACCTCGCGATCACATGGACGGCATAGCCCTGCACGGCAGTGCCAGCAAGGGGAGTGCCTGGAATGACAGGTACTCCCCCTGCTGCCTGAAAAAAAAATTAAAACAGTTTAAAAATGTGTAAAAATGTTATTATATATACTTAGATCATATAATATTTAGTATATATATGATCTAAGTATATATATATATACACACATATACACACATACACATAAATACACATACACTGTCTAAGTGTATTTTAATATTAATATATATATAATTATATATATATGTATATATATAATTATATATTTATATATATATATATTAATATCAAAATACACGTAGAAAGATGTTGATTAAATATATATATAATTATCATTATACATATATATATATATATATATATAATATAAAATAAATAAATATGTAAATACGTAAAATATATATATATATGTGTGTGTGTGTGTAATTTCGTTCTAACTGTATTTGAAAATTAATATATATATATATATATAT